ACGGCCGCAACCTTATTACATACCCCCAGCTCGCCCTTCCATCTCCCAGCGCACTCTCTGCAACGCTCACTACCACCTCCACCATCGTCTCCCATCTCGAGTTCTGAAGCACGTCCAGCATGTCGGGGCCTGGTATAGTCGTCCCTGGGTCTATATTATCCATAATACATTCCACCCCTATCGCCGGTTCAACCCCTACGGCATCCGTTGAACCCAGCACAGCAGCATCCACATCTTCATCTCACTCGCATGCAGGAGCTATTGCAGGAGGCGTCATCGGCGGTATAGCCCTGCTCTTAGCCCTGATTGGCGTGTTCGTGTACTATCGCTACAGGAGGAGGTCTGCTCCCTATCACGCTCGCAGAGGGCGTGGGCCGGTAGCCGCAGCCGATGTACCCAAGTCTGCCGACGTCTTTACTGGCGTGGATACACTTGTTGGTGATGATGCATCGAAGACGGGCCCGAAGCGTTCCGTCTCATACGGGTCCAAGGTTGGCAGATACGACAGCTCTTCGAGTATTGGGCATGGCCGTCCGTCAATGAGCTATGAAGACAGTCAAGCACAGACACCAACGACTCTTCAAGGGCACAGATCAATGGACTCCATCGAAAAGCCTTCAGAGATGCCACTTGATTACATGCCTGCCTTACCTGCGAACGCAAACAGTATACGGGGGCGTTCAAAGTCGGTGATAGACCAAAGTCGGGCTGCAGCATTGGCTGCGCTCGACGGAAATGGCACACCCACCTCCCGGTCGCAGTATCCTCCCGTTCCCGCCCGACGATCGGAGGACGCGCGCACCAGTTGCCCAGAGTCGATGATGCAGCTGGGCAGGTCCGAGTCGATGACGCGTGGAAGCAGAGTCTCGAGGCGGGCTACGAGAAAAGCCGTGCCGAAGTACGACGGCGCTGAGCTTTCGAACCCTACTTCGCCTACCTATTCGACCAACACTCCCGACTCGGCCAACAGTGCTGATGATTCGAGCGCAATCTTGCACGTAACGCCGTCCATGTCTCGCGAAGACCTTGTCGCGTCTGGCTTCGGGATTCCCGAACTCAACCATAAGTCGAGCTTTGGCAACAAGGCAATGCATTACCTGATTCCAGACCCGCCGCCCCGCCCAGTTGAGTGATGATTGTGAGAAAACCAGGTTCTACTTGTTGCTAAGTAAGCATTGTACAACTGTGTTCAACGTCAAATCTGACTTTTCTAATACTCGTAGTTCTGTCACCTGCGCATATATGCCCCACTTCCTTTCTTCCACATTATTCAACATTTACGGACTGCTTCCATACATTCTCTCGAGGCTCTCGCTTCATTCCTACTACTTCCCATCCCGGCATGAATCGTTTCAACCTCCTAGCTTGGTTTAGTCGGCACAGCGTATTCCACTCTCGTCATACTCCGTGTTATTGTCATCTCTCTGTTGCTACTGTTCAAGACAGTTCCGGATAGCGTTGCTTAATCGTTACCTCCGCTCCATGACCCTCGTCCATGCAATTACCTGCCTTTATTTATATCTTCACGACGATCACAAGTTTTGCAGCCATAATCTTATATGTCTATACTCTTCCCCTCTTGTACTCCTAAACCTCCCGTTTATACAGCCAACAACAGTCTCAAGGTGAGAACATCGTCACTTGTCCAATGTTTGCATTTTGAGCTGCCACCTCGAACGCCTTCTCCCAGTCGGCCAACGCAAACTCTCCCATAACCTCAACCTTATCCAACTTTAGCACTCCCAACCTCACCATCTGTATCAGAGCAACGATGTCGTCCCTCTCGTACATCCACTTTCCTTTCAGCTGGATGTTGCGAAACATGAGCTGTGCATATGGAAAGCCCACGTCGCCTGTGATCCCTCCCATCATGCTCACTCGCCCCCCATGCCTCAACGCAGCAATGGCACTCTTCAGATGTGTCGATTGGCCAGCTTCGGGCGGGGATATATCAAAGAACGCGTCGACAGGGCCAAAGGCACTTAGCGCTGCCGTCTCCTGCTGGACATCGCCCATAATAGGCACAATTTCCACTCGCCCGTCAGACGCTCCCCCACCACCGTACACGTTCGCCACCTTTTTCAATTTCTCGACGTTCCTACCCATCGCGATCACCCGTGCTCCCATGGCCAAGGCGACCATGACAGCAGCACCTCCAAACGCGCCTGTCGCGGGGGCGACGATGACGGTCTCGCCTGCTTGAAGCCCAATGTCGCGTAGCCCGCCGTACGGGACGAGCAAAGCCGATATGTAGGTCAATTGCGCATAGTTATATCCCAACCCTCCCGAGCCACACAACCTCGCTTCATCCAACACAAAACAGTTCTCCAACGGCACCTTTGCGTACTCTGCAAACGTCCCATCTCGCCACTCGCCTTGAATCAACTTTCGACTGCCGTCCGTGAAGCCCTCGGATAGGCCTTGCAGGATCATCGCCGAAGGGTCGTCCCGGCCCCGGATGAGGCAGTTGATATGAACGAGCTGTCCGGGACGCAGGGTCGTGGCGTCGGGTCCTACGGAGACGATCCTGCCTATGGCGCTCGTGCCTGGGACGAGCGGGAGGGGGTAGGGGTAGGGACGTTTGCGGGAGACGTAGACTTCGGACATGTAGGAGATGATACTGGAGTGGACGATGCGGACGAGGGCGCTGCCTTGGGTTGCGGTGGGGAGAGGGATATCATGGAGGGTTGGAGGGGACCCATGTTGGGTGAGGACGAGAGCGCGGTGGGTTTGGGGAAGAGAAGTCATGTTGAACAAGATTTGCGTGTCTTGTCATTGCTGCTATCGCTCCTGTACTTATATATCTCCAGCACGTCCTGGGCGTTTTTGTTGTTTGGAGGAAAACCGCGCCGTTGTGTGTATACGGTTTGACTAAGCCGCCGACCACTGACGCGGCTTCTCGATTTGCGATGAGAGCAGTAAGAAACGTCTGAACCGCCAGACAGCCTCTCTGTTGCCAAGAATTCTGTTTGTGCGATACATTACTGAAGAAGCGAGAGCCTGCAGCGTTCAAGGCATATCTTGCCCTCAATGACCTTCAGGGTGATTGACATTGCTCTTCCTGTGCCTTCACCTTGTTTTCATGTTGCTCGACCAACTGCAGAATGACTTCAAAGTCTTTGTGCAATAGGTACTGATAGCCTTGACATACCTCTACATAGCATTCGTGCTTCCAGTGCATTTCTACCCTGTCCATGTCACACTCTGGCAACAACCACTCCAGGAACTGGAAAAATAAACAAGCTACCATGAGGATGATGGCAAAGATCAGCCCGAAGAACCGGCCGAGCTCTAACGTCCTATACGTCCTCATGAGATTGACAGGACCTCAGTACAATGCGTAACTTACCGCTGGATTCTCGTCCAAAAGTCGTATGGTTCACTGCGCATGACCGTATCATACACGCGCTCTACTCGCTCAGCGACATCTGGCCAGTCGTAGAACCCGCGGATACGCTGGTGCGCCGCCTGCGGGTCGTGTTTCCCAGCTTGAACCAGCTGAATTGCTTCCGACATGGCACGCACGACATCGTCCTCGTCCGGGTTGGCGAAGGATATCATGTCGGGAGGGAGGATCTCAGGTACTCCTCCTACACGCGTTGACACGACGTAGAGGCCGGTACAAGCTGCTTCCAAAATGGCGATTCCGAATGACTCTGTTAGTGATGTGTTCATGAATATCGTTCCGCGTGTTAGGACCTGCCATTGTCGATGAAAGTGAGAAAGTGATATCATGTATACACTGCTGTGACGTACATCCCGTACGTCGCTGTGCTTCACCAGTCCCAGAAGCTCTATGCGATCTTGCAAGAGATGCTTCTCACGCATCTGTAGCAGGTCAATCATCTTGGGCCCTTCTCCTCCTGAAAGATTCTTGAGCCATGTTCTAAAAAGCGGTTTTTGAAAAGACACACCGATAACAAAGCGGACGTTCGGGAAGAGTTTACAGATGCGCGGTGCAGTTGCAACTAACAAGTCGACGCCCTTCCGGTAGGCCAGACGAGAAACAACGATAATGGTCACTGCAAGGGAAGTTAGTCATGATTTGATGACTTTCATGTATTACCTTTGTCAGATATGGGGGACTCTGTTGCCGGCTTGAAGTGGTCTGCAACAATCGCGTTGGGTATGACGTAGACCGTTTCAGGAACTAGTCGTGCTCGCAGAACAGTATTTTCACGTCTAAAGAAGGAGAGTTAGCGCACCAGTTCCAACACAAGAAAATATAGCGTACCCAGTATTCGAAACACAAATGGCGGCATCTACGTTTCTCAATGCGGCTTCGAGCAACTTGTTGGTCAATATACTAGCAGCGTCGTCGAAGCCAAATAGGCTATGATCGGTGAATACCGTGCGCACACACATCAGGTGTGCGTGAAGGATGCCTTCATGTGCCAGCGATGATAGACTCGCATGTGCATGTATGAGCTGCACACCCTCGCGAAGCACAATAGTCCGTAAGTAAGGGAGGAATGTAAGAAAGTTGGGGAGTGTTGCGGACGAAGCGATCGTCAGGAAGGGTATGTAATACACTTTCAATGAGGGCAACAACCAGCGAATACCCACGCGGTCTGGAGGGTGGCTATGTGTGATCACAATGACCTGTCAACTTTCAGCTACAGTCGAGCAGGTTTGGGAAACTGACCTACGTTGTGTCCGCGTCGAATGAGGTTTGCGCTGAGCATATAAATGTGATTTTCGACTCCACCAACGTTTGGGTGGAAGAAGTCACATATCATACTGCAGCGTGTTCAATGTTGTTGTAGCTTGCAGTAAGTAGCCAAGACACACTCACGCGATGGTTATCGGGTCCATTACCGCGAACTGCCGGTAGCGTTGTAGCCCTGCTGCGGATGTTCAGAGAATTACGATGTTAAGCCAAAGACTACCTTTGCGTACCTGAGAGTTTATGTGTAGTCGGGGTTCAAGTTCGAGTGTAGTCATGATCAGCTCGACTACTTGTGCAATACATATAAATATACATAGCAGGCGCCTTTGTGGGTTCAGTGGTGTAGTTGGTTATCACGTCTGTCTCACAAGTATTGTGCACAGGAGGTCCCCAGTTCGAACCTGGGTTGAACCATTGTTTTTCACTCGACTTTCGCGAAATGTGCAAGTCGAATATCTAGTCTGATATTGTGTCTTTCGCGCAGAGACTGTCTGGAATTGGGGAATATGTCTTTGTTCGTCTCAGGTCTGAATCGGCCGTGACACATTCCAATTATTATTTCCTGCATCATCCAGCACTGCGGTGAAGTGAACAAGCACAGTCATGCAGTCATGTAGTGTTTTCCCTTGGTTTTGAAGTGGAACCCGGGCTGTTTCAGTTTTGTTTGCGAGTACATAGCCCAACGTTGCCACCTATCACGAATCATTTAGTACGAACGTTGATAGGCAAAAGTTGCGGGTACTCACATCTTTGCCATCCTTTCCTTCTACTTCCATCATCTTGGAGGACCGACACTCCCTTGCCCGTCGTTGACGACTCTCTCCTACCATGACTTCCAAAGGCGACGTTGCTGGCAACCCTTATCCTGAGCACGCCCATGATGAGGAGACGGAAGATGCAGCGGTATCCGTCCCCGACACTGGCGACGGTGGGGACAGCTCAAAGCTCAAGATGATCATCACCTTGGTCAAGAAATGTCTAGGAGTCAAGGACATCGCATCCATGTAAGTGTGCAGTACGTTCAGTACGGGCACTGTGGCCAACTTCTTGCAGGCGACTCTCTCTTCCGGCTTCGTTGCTTGAGCCTATTCCCAACCTCGAGTACTGGCATTATCTGGATAGACCGGACTTGTTCGCTGCGTGAGTCCTCACACTATCACTCAACAGTCAATCTTGATGTCGAGCTACATCCAGGATCAATGATTCCGCCGACCCACTTGAGAGGATGCTTGCAGTGCTACGATTCGGCTTTGCTAAGGATTTGAAGTTTATTGTGCGGCCATAATCATCCTTCTTGCACATTCTTGTGCTTACTATCTCTGTATAACCAGCATGGCAAAGTATGCAAACCGTACAACTCTGTCTTGGGCGAACACTTTCAAGCACACTGGGATGTTCTCCCCGTTGCATACCCCGTCGATGACCCAGCACAGCCTCCCATTCAGCATCTTTACCTCTCTGAAGCGGCTGCATCCTCCTCGATCTCCCAACTCCCCCCGAGCGAGCGGTCGGATACTGCTAGCACCAAGAGCGGGGTGAGCAGTCTCAAGAGCGCAGAGTCCCAGGTAGCTTCAGTCACAGATACCCCCACGAAGAGCACCCCGGCTACATCGCCAGAGCTTTTCGTGACAGAAATGGACGCTCAAATGTCAAAGCTGAGCTTGGAGGTTAAGGAGGAGCCGATCAAGCTCATTGAAGGCGACGAGCCTCCTCCCACAGCCGACGGTCCTCGGGTGCGCATCGCCTACCTCACCGAGCAAGTGTCCCACCACCCTCCCGTTAGCGCGTTCTTGGCGATTTGCCCCAGCCGCCAGCTCGAAATGGTCGGCATCGACCAGATCACGGCCAAGGTGTCGGGCATGAACGTGCGTGTGGCCGCAGGCTCGTTCAACAAGGGTATCTTTATCCGTGGTACTGGTGGGCATGCCGAGGGCGAGACGTACCAAGTCACACATCCCACTGCTAGTGTCAACGGCATTCTGCGAGGCAACTTCTACATCACCTTCAGCGACTCGACGACCATCACCTGCTCCGGGTCCAAGTCAGGCAAGGATGGTCAGCAACTGCGAACGGTGATCGAGTATAAGGAGGAATCTTGGCTTGGACGTGCCCATTTCCTGTGCGAAGGTGTCATACATACCTATGACCCCGAGGGAATCGCGCACCACGAGTGGACAAAGGTCAGACATGTTCCACGGTCTCGCGTCGTTGCACAATTCCATGGCTCGTGGAAGCACGCGATCAAGTGGAAGCTCGCCTCAGAGCCAGACTCTGACTACAAGCTGCTCATCGACCTGAGCCAGCTCCAAGTCGTACCGAAGATTGTGCGGCCTTTGGAAAAGCAGCTCCCCACCGAGAGCAGGAAGCTTTGGGAGCACGTCACGAGAAACTTGATCAACAAGCAGTACGGAGAAGCGAACAAGATCAAGCACAGTATTGAGGAGAAGCAGAGAGCTGATGCGGCGGAACGAAAGAGGAAGGGGAGCAGGTACGTTCGTCTTGACTTGACAGATGGATGTCACTGACCACAGTGCAGCTTTGTCCCAAAGTATTTCGGAGCCAGCTACGAAGATGGTATACCCGTTGTTCTTCCTGAAGCAAGGCGGGTGCTTGAAGAAGAGTTAGCCTCTGAGGCAGCGCATCCTTTGGAGCCGTTGAAGTTGGCTGCCTGATCTTTATTAGACTGACTCACGACACTGGACATTGCATCCACATTGCACGACTGCTTTTGTAATGATAATTAGTTGACTCAAATCTTGGATTCATGCTAAGATCCTCCTTTCGCACCTTCAGGCCTCACCCATGAATTGTCATTTTCGTAGAAATCTTATGTGTTTCATCTCTGACATGGAAAGAGAGCTATAATTTATGAATATGTTTACTCATAACGCTACAATATGAACACGGCGAGTCCGAATGTCCTGTCACAACATCATGTTGTACTTTCAAGTCGTGGGTTTGGGATCTACTTTCGGTATTACCGCCTCTGCAATTGCCCGCAACTTTGGGAGCAACTTTGCCTCTCCCATACCCTCAACGAAACCATTACCCAACTTCTCCGCCGTCTTCTGCACGATCTCGTCTTCTCTCGCCCACTCGCCGACTGTCTTCTGCCTCTCCCACCACTGCGTGGATGACTCTCTCAATGCCGGATCGCGGGCAATTGCGCCACGTATATACTTGAGCATCATCACTCGCTGAAGTGCCGTATCCAGCGTTCCCTTTGTTTGCAGCATACCCGTCAAGGAGTTCAGCGGTGGACTGGATGGGAGGGAGTGTATCACGATGGGAAGAACGGCGAAGAGGAATTGGCGAGCAAACCAACATGCGTCGGCCCACTGCAAAGTACACAGCCACGCGTTGAGAACACTGTACAATTAAGATGACAATAGGGACATACGTAGAGTGTTCCTTTACCATTCCTCGGCATGGTGATGTTCGCGCTCATCAGGCAATACGCCTCCAGCAATCCAGCGACCATAAGTAACGCAATTCCGAGGGTCCTCCAGCGGCTGCGGTGACTGTCTCTCGTAGTTATCAAGCCGACGACTGCTGCTTCCCGGACGTATTGAAGAAGAGGCCGCGGTAGGGCAAAGAGCGCGTAGTGTTCGAGTGTACGGCAGTATTCACAGTCTTGTATTACTGACTGGCCGAATCTTGTAAACAACGTACCATTAGGCACGCACACATGTAAAAATACGTTGTTACTCACCTAACGTACACATTTCTACCATCAAAGGACGACAAACGGGTAAGGAGAGTCTCGAGCGGCCTTGGAAGAGTGGCATTCGGTTGGAGCCCAGCAGAGTCGAGTATTTTGGATCGTATCTTCTGCGCAGAAGTGTTCAGAGGAATCCCTAAACTCCTGAATAAGTTTGGCGGCGACCGTATAGTAGATACGTAAATGATATAGAGAGTGTGGAGAATGACAAAGATCGTAAGGGCGTTGCGGTATGGTGACTGAGAATTGGCCTGAGTTCGTCTGAAGAATAAGTAGTACGTCCCTGCCGTCACTGCTGCTGCAGTTATGAGAAACGTATCAATGGACGCAGTGATGATGGGCATCCCGGCGCCGAAACTTTCTCGCAGGCAAGATGGAGGTTTTGGCAAGAGTTACAAATCTCATTGCTCCGAGGCGTCCGTGTTTGTTCTCGCTTTGAAACGAAACGTGAAACGCGAAGCATTACAAACACCATAAAAAGTTGGCTCGAGCCAGGATCGAACTGACGACCGCCTGTGTGTAAGACAGGAGTGATAACCACTACACCATCGAACCTTAGACTGATATGTAGAAAGAATAATTCATAATGTCATTTCTATCCCGGTTCTTTTCAACGCATTGCACGCCTGCGTGGTTCGTTCAACCTCCCATGCTACTCACACTCTGTTGTCCATCTATGCAATCGAAAGTTGTTGGTAAGGGGATAGATAGACTATCTGAGTGGAACGCGCGCGGGCTGAAAATGAGTAAACCTGCCGCAGAGATAACGGCTTTAGTATTGTGATACCCGCGTTTCATCCGAATATATCCACTTGTGGGCTCCTGTGAGTGCAGCTGAGCTCATCGCGTTATGTTCACAAGACAAATTCAGTACTTAGTAGTCAGAGAGGCGATACTTTGTACCGCGAAGGCCAGGAATGCACAACAGAGAGCGGACCAAAAACCTAAGCCAGACATTGAAGGGTCGTTTATTGGACAGCGAGCATCTCGATGCCAGACACACGTTGAGGGTGGTAATCTGGGCTGTATCATGGGCGGAAACGTGGTGTTAGATCGCTTATCTACCATGCAGCCAACCAACTTTGCAATATTGCACCCTAAACTCACTCCGACCTGCATGCCGCCTTTCTGGTGTTTATTGCGCTCGGATATCTGACCGTGAGGGCCTTCTTGCTGACCAAGTCCAGGATCAATTGATATCGTCTGCTCCCCGCTGCGTACCTGATAACCACCCGCGATTGTCCCGATGTATGTTGCCTTGCTAGTTTTTAGGTTTTAGCTATGAACCACAAAGCTGGTACATGAAGGAGCGGCTGATCGTCGAGGCCTCCAATCGTTCGTACGAGCGGTCAATTGAGAGAGACCCTCGCGTTTCTCATGCGTGTTTGTCTTATCTGATGCCAGAAAACATTTCAGTCAGCTCTTTCGGCAGAGAAGAAACGGTTGACTAGTTCTCACCATGTTGTGTGGAATCTCGGTCGCACAGACTACAGATACCGGGGAGAGCTTGATGAGACACCGTATGTTTGTAACGCGGAAGTCGCAGTCTTCGAACTGATACCTGACGCCACGATTCAGAAGAATATACAAGCGGCAGTAGCCGCAAGGCCTCCTGCCCAACGAGCAATGGCATGTGATGCTTCAGGGCCAGGTGTCTTTTGCCGGCTAGTGATGTCTCCTGATACAAAGACGGTTAGCAGCATTGGGCATGATACCTCGCGAGCATGTAATAACTCAAAAGTGAATTGTCGGCGGTTAGGTCCGAGAGCATGTCTCTCCACACACTCTGTTCCAGACTAAGACTGGTCTCAAAATCTGGGGTTGCAGTGTGCATTGCAAGTGGAACCGAGAGTTACACAGTGATGCCATATGTCCAGGAGCCGTGCGATGTGTCCAATGTGGATATGCGATAGTAATACAGTGGTAGGTGAGGTCGCCATACACACCATGAGTGTGTTGGCCGATGTAATGAGTCCTAGTACAGGTCACAGCGGCGACGAGGCATACGTTCCTCGCCAGCTTTTTATTTACCACTATTGAGCCAATAGGCTGCTATCGCCTAAAAACAGCATACTGCTTTAATCAAGTTCAAAAAAAAAGGAGAAGCAGCTAACGCACATTCTGTATTTTCTCTTTAGCTCGGTCCACGCGGGCCCCGCAGCTGGGTAGCGGGCAACAAAGTCGGGCATATCCTGCTCCGGTATGCGATTGATGTCAATTTGGTTCCAATAGTGACTTAAAGTATACACGATGTCATTTGCATCATGCTCTGAGCGCCGACTATCTCAAGGTATCCGTGAGTGAGGTCTGTGGCAGACAGACGTTTCATGCGTACATTACCCACGCCTTGATTTTGGCTCTGAGGAGTTCAGATATTGTCAGGACTGGAATACCTCCAATGTCCATAACAGTCGTAGCATCCAGACGGCGTGGACCCTGTTCGCCGGCTGGTAGAATTTCGATCTGAAAGAGTGGTACTCAGCAACTCATCCTGAGGCATATAAATACTTTTTCTGACGTCTATCGGTGGTATAAGTTTGGTGTAGACCGCGTGTAATCTTGTCAGGTATAAGGGAGCGGCATGCAGGTTATATAGTCATAGGTCATTACCGATTTGTCCATGGCGACGCTCGTATAATTACTTCGTGGCTGGTTGTGCAAGCTTGTCGCACCCTACGGAATGGATGAGTTGGCCCACCCTCCACTATGCAGAAGATTTCCTGGGTGCACGTATCAAGAAGTCTGCATATGTTCTTGACCAAGAGTGACACCACAACTCACATCACATTGAGGTGCGTTCGCCAGCAGGGAAACCATGAAGCCGCCATAGAAAGCGTGAGGGACGTGTGCGGCGGCCAGAAGTGCATGCAGCGCGGTGGCTGCCTCCAGAGCGCGGCGCAGGTCGTTGACCATGATGGACAGTTGGTTAGGCTCAGTCGAAGGGATGAAGCATGGCGGTCATGAGCACCTCTCGCTTAAGGCCATGGCGCGCGCACAGTTAGGAAGGAGGGAGAAGGAGCACTGGAAGAGGACACATCGTGGATAAAGCCGAGGCACTGGAGGCGTCTGATGTAAACTTTACCGAGATATTCGAGGTCACAGACATATCTGTCGTAAAATCACCGACAAACACGTTGGGGGAGATGAGACCGTGGTAGGGACCGATAGGCCGTAAATCTGCGGGGATTCCTGGTCACATGAACAATTCGAGAATTCAATTCGGACGGAGATGAGTTGTGTAGAAGACCTAGAGGTTTCTCAGCCATTCGTCGAGATCGATTGACGGTTATTTTCTCGCCTCGTTTGTGGGAGGTTATTCGAGACAACTCGAGCACATCCGGCTCCGCCCATACGGAGGCTTTGACTGAGCCAATCTGTGGTGAATTCGAAAGTGTACGACATTACGAGCGGTCCATAATATGTGCGGAGAAACTAGCACTGAGCTGGTATTGAGTGAGTGACCCTAGTAGAAGAAAAATATTCAATGTAGGAGCAAGTCGAGTTCGACATACAACTTGATCATGGTTAGACGAGAGCTCCGGAAAAGGTCCGAAAAAGGCAGCTTAACTAATTATGAGCGTCTAACGCTGTGTGACGTTGGAGGAATTCATGTTTGCAGGCGACCACTCATTTCAGTCCTCTCCTTCCACGTCCTCGCTCGTGGTCGTCGACGCCGTCGCAAATCGCATGCATGCGAAAGCTTTGAACTCTTGGAATCATGTAATGGGACACACTCTCCCCGCAAAACTCTCGGCCGCTCGTTTAGGAACATGTCAAACACTACGCGGCAGAATGTCTAGTACCCTCTGTCAAAACAGGGCTGGCAGTCGGCGCTCTTTGTATGAGTACAGAACTACATTCGAATGCACCTTTTCTCCCAGTCAAAGGCGCATGTCGTGGCTTCCGGGTTTTGGTGCCAGTCGACGTCCTCAACCCGACCAGTTCAATGGGTCGATAGACAACCAGGAGGAGGCTGCAAAAGTCGCAATGCTAGAGAAAGCAATGAAGGGTCGACAGCCGACGGATCTCAAGTTGCGCTGTAAGTTCCGGTTGGGCATTCCAACAGTTGCGCTCGTCTGACTGTACGGATCTCTAGGCACAATCCTCGACGCGCACGGTAAGCCATATCAACCATCTCTCGCAGCTGTTGGAAACATATGTCCCACATTTTTGTTGCTCCGGAACATCCCCCTCATCGTTGTATGCTGCTATTTTACTACAATTGTTTTGCGCGGGTCTACGTACAGTTCTCTGTGTACAAAATACTCAATGTTTCTCCTCGCAGGCAATGTGAAGACCATCTCCGGTCAATTCAAGAAGTCGGACCTTTGTTCCGAGCATCGACTCAATGTAATGTTCACAGATAATACTCCTTGTCTTCTTGCATACTGACCAAATGGACCTAGCCGCGAGATCTGCGTAAAATTGACTCTAGAATTCCCAATCTTGTGCCCACGATCCTTGTCAGAAAAGAAGCCGTTTTGGTGAGTAAACCTCATTGCATGGGCACCGTGTAACTGACTTCGAAAATTACTGTCAGGTTAATATCCTCCATATCCGTGCCCTTGTCAAAGCAGACACAGTTGTGCTGTTTGATACATTCGGTTCTGCTGACTCGAGACTCCATTCCGTTTTCTTGTATCACCTTGAAGTAAGTAATTTATCTCCGGCTGATAATAACGGATTTGTTCACTGATCGGTGACAGCATAATCTCAGGGCCAAGTCATCAGGGCAGCCCTACGAGTTTCGGTGAGTGCGACACCATTCAGCGTTAGCGCAGTCTCTCACGCGTGTCAGTTCACCCCTCTTGCAGCGCACTTGAGTCAATTCTCTTGTCCGTCCTAAGCGCGTTGGAGGCAGAGATGGTCTTTATACGTAATCTGATAGGTGGCTTGCTTGCTGAGCTTGAGGATGACATCGATCGAGATCGTTTCAAACGAATGCTCCATTATTCTCGTAGACTAGCAGGGTTTCAGAACCGCGCTAAATTGGTTTGTCGCCCCAAATACGCATGCCTTGCGTAATGCTTATACTGAGGAGGACTATGGTTTGACAGGTGCAAGAGGCTCTGGAAGAAGTGCTCGAACAAGGTACGACCCTTATGCCTTTTAGTTGGTAAAAACTCACCGTGGTGTTATGATCCGTAGACGAGGACCTCGCAGCTATGTATCTCACGGACAAGAAAAGCGGCATACCCCGGTCACTGAACGACCATGAGGACCTGGAAGTCCTTCTGGAATCCTTTTCAAAGCAGGTAGAAGAAATCGTCAATGAGGCAGAAAGTATTCAGGTTATTACAAATCTCGACAGATTGATCACATGAGGGCTTACTTTCTCTTCGGGCAGAGCAACGTGCAATCTACTCAGGAGATCGTGGAGCTGATCCTAGATTCTAACCGTAATGCCTTACTGGCTCTCGATTTGAAGGCGAGTATTCCCCATCCTTTGTCAAGATATACGTAGTAGCTAAATCAACGTTGCCATGCTTCTCTGCAGGTGTCCATACTGACCATGGGCATCGGTGTTGGGACACTGTTGGCGGGCCTGTTTGGAA